TTACTTGCTAAAGGAATAGAGTAGCTAAGATCCAATGTTGGAGTACAATCAATTCAAAGTGCTTGTGTTCAGGCCGGGAACATAGCTCAGTGGCGCTGTGCCTGACTGGTAGTGCAAGGTCCTGAGTTTGATCCCCAATACCAGGAAAAACAAGTTCTTATATTTGGGCCCATGATTTAGCTCAGCACACACTGCCTGCCTGGCAAGTGTGAGGTCCTGAGTTCAATCTCTGGTACCAAAAAAAAAAAAGGAACGAAATGTTTGTGATTCGAGGACCAGTTTGATCTAGTAGGCAGTCTTTTCGAGTATGAATCGTGTCATCAAAACTTTCACAATGAAAAGAGCTTTGGAAATGTTATATTTCTGGTTTAAGTTGAAAACAGCAAATAAGTGTTTCAAAGATCCTCTTCAAATACAGTTGCTCCCCATAGAAACAGGTCCTGAAATGTGTTTTCATCTGTTATTTTTTCTGTTTTGTTTTGTTTTATGGTTTTTTTGAGAGAGAGTCTTGCTATCTAGTTCCAACTGGCCCTAAACTCATGGCGATCTTCCTGCCTCAGCCTCCCAAGTACTGGGATTACAGGCCTGTGCCACCATATCCAGCTTACCTCTGTTCTTAAAATTGAAAATACCATAAAACAATGTCTGAAACAGTTTTCCATTAATGACTTTATATTATAAAATGTAAACTTCTGTGCTTTATGGAAGAGGTCAGTGAGAAGATAAGATCCAAAAACCAACATAGTTAAATCCGCAGTTGAAAACCGTGTCCGGATATGGAGGGCCCAGCAGCGTGGAGACCAGTGATGCTTCATCGCCTGTCTGTGCTGTTGCCAGGGCCCTTTCCCATCATGCACTCTGGATGGGGGTGGATGTGCAGTTTAGCACAGGGATAATTGCACAGCTTTGCAGCCAGGCAGGCCTGGGTTTAACTTCTGGCTGCACACTTGGCTTACTGTAGGGTGGATGTGGGCAAGTGACTTCATTCCTCTGAGCCTTCATTTCCTGTCTGTGACCTCATAATCTTGTGGGGATGACGTGAGATAATACAGGTTTAGCCATGGTGCACTGCCACAGCAGAGGCAATCTTAACAGGCTGCCATTGCTGTTGTTAGGAAAGGACCCATTGCTGAGTGACTGTGTGTGCTGAATGGGTTCAAACTGCAACACGCTGTCTAACAAGTGCAGTGCTTCAAACTTCTTGGCACAGTGTGTGCTTCCATCATCATCATCTGATGATACACTTGGTGGTGTGTGCCATCCAGGCGACAGGAGAGGGAGACCCAGAGCACAGTTTGCAGAGACCAGCACTTCACGGGCTGGCTCCGAGCTTGCCCTGTCCCCTGACAGCCAGGAAAGGGAGGGAGGGAGGAGGAGGAGGATAGAGCTGGCTTCGTGGATGTCCAGAACCTTCTTTTTTTTGGTACCAGGGATCGAACTTGGGTCCTTGTGCTTGCAAGGCAGGTGGTGGCACTGCTGAACTAAATCCCCAGCCCTCTGGAACCTTCTAATGGCTCTCTTTGAGCCTCGTGGCAACCACAGGGCACAGTGATTATTCCTGGTCGAGGCTGAGGCCCAAAGTGTTTAAGGAGCCACCAGGATCTCAGAGGCAGGAAATTGCAGAACAGGAACTACAGCCCAGGCTGACCATAAGTGCCTCTGATTAGAGATTGGGTCCTTATAGTCTCTCAAAGGGTTGGCAGTCAGGAGTGTCACTGAGACAACAGCAGTGATGTCTGTTGTAACTGCATTGCCAGCTCCACATGCTCTGAGCTATGACCGAGCAAAGAGCTTTCCAAGTGCCAAGCATCTGTCCAGGGGTGGATGGGCTGCCCCATGTTTGATTTTCCTACAATTCTACATGAATTATGAATTTAAACCTGGCACAGTGTTTGTTACTATTAGAATTTTATTTATTTGTTTATTTATTTTTTGTTTTCTTGGTTTTTTGAGACAGGGTCTCACTACATAGTTGAGACTGGCCTGGAACTCACTATGTAGCCCAGGCTGGTCTCGAACTCACAGTGATACTCCTGCCTCAGCCTCCCGAATCCTGGGATTACAGGCATGTGCCACCACGCCTGGTATACTATTAGAACTTTAAAACAAAGATAAACAAAAAGGAAACCCCAGGGATGTTAGAGCTGGAGGGAACCCCGAATCCAGACTCCTGCTTTCACAGACAGGGACCTTGACACCTCAGAGGGGCACTTGCTCCCCATGACTGTCCATGCGCATGAGGTAATTATCTTACAAGAGAAAGGTGCTCTGGCTCACAGTCTGAAGTTTCCACTCCATGATGGTGCTGCCTTGGCCTCTTGTGCAGCCATCCACGATGGGAGTGTGGAGCAGAGCAAGGCCACTTCCATCGTAAACCAGGAAGCAGAGGGAAGAGGACAGGTTGGGGTCTTGTATCCCCAGTAACCTTGGGATGTCCCAAGGCCTCTCCCAAGAACCCAGAACTTGCTAATGCACCTCTCTGGGCCCCAGCATTAGCCCAGAGGCTTCTGAGGAGCATTCACAGCCCAGACCACTCAGTAGGACTCAGCTGTGACCTCCTTGCCTTGCCGCAGGAAGATGCCCGGTGCTCTTTGTCTTTCAGGTAACATCTGTCGGCACCTGCTGCCCCAGGTTCAGTGTCCCACGCTGATTGTGCACGGGGAGAAGGACCCTCTGGTCCCTCGTTTCCATGCTGACTTCATACACAAGCACGTGAAAGGGTCACGGTGAGTCTGCACGCCCTGCCCCCATGGGGCAGCATCAGCAAATAGTGTCTCTGTGTTTGGGACATGGTGGGGACAAGGACAGGAGCCCTTACTGGTGGGAAAGGGTAATTGGAAGGAAAGGCCTCCTCTGATCAATGGCCTCTTATTTTACTTTTTTTTTTTTGCGGTACGGGGGATCAAACTCCATACCTTGCCCTTGTGAGGTAGGCATGGCACCACTGAGCTACATCCTCAGCCCTCAGTGTCCTTTACTGTTGTGAAGGGCAGATGTTGTGAGCAGGCACCGGGTTTTACAACACAGTGACAGTTTAGATTTAAGTCAGTCATGGTTGACTGACAGTTTCATGTAATTTGGGAAGTTTTAGTTTAGTTTCTTAAAATCATAAAAGCACTTCTTATCCAGTAAAAAAACTTGTAAAGCCCCAAAAGAAAACAGTTGCCTTTGATTTACCACCCATTTAAATACTATCATTATTAGAAGTTTCCAACATAGATACAGTTGTATGCTGTATTCAACTTTGAATCCCGCTTTTTTCTCACTTTATACTGTAAACTTTTCATGCTTTTTCGGCCTTAAACATGGACGCACCCAAATGAGAAATCTGTTACTGAGCATCGCAGAGTACAGTGTGTTCCAGCATCCTGGCGGCTCGCCTGATTAAGTAGCAGTGCCTTGGTCTTTCTGTCCTATCTCTGCCACCCAACTTTGACATCTCAGAGCCCTGTAAGATAGGTCAGCAGCACTTCTGTTATCCGATCCCATCAATTATTATATGAAATAGAAATGTGTGTTTTGAATACTTTGGCTGACACAAGAGCCAGCTTTTGCTGGTACTTTTATCCAGACAGAAATTTGGAGCTGAATAAAGACCTTGTTTCCTTCACACAGAGGAGATGAATACCCTGGTGACAGTGAGGCATTATGGGGAGATTAGTAGCCTAATTTCTGTTTTTAAGCAAACATATTGGAAAATTAATATCCAAATGAGCCAGGCCCTTCAGAGCCTGCTCAGAATTACTCAGGATGTCTTTGAATTCTGTGGAACTCTTTTGCAGTTGGACTTGATTAGAGACCTAGGAAAATCCTCCCACTTCCCTCCCCTCCATCTGTCCATTCCCAGCTCTGCCGGGTGGTTACCAGTGGTCCCGGCCCTCCATGTGTGCAGTCCCCCAGGGCAAGGGGCCAAAACTTTTCTCCCAACTCCTTCTAAGGCTCTTCCAAGTGTAGATTTCTAAAAGATTTTAAATGTGAGGAAATATTTCTTATTCTACAGTAAAATACAATCACTGTAACCCTTTATGCTACCTATATGGCATTCTTTAAAGGCATCTCTTTTTTTTTTTTTGGTACCAGAGATCAGATTCAGGTCCTTGCTCTTTCGAGGCAGGCAGTGGAATCACTGAGCTAAATCCCCAGCGCTAAAGGCATCTCTTTATCCCACATATTTCCTCGTATACAAGTTTAAGCATGGATAAAAAAACAGTGAGCATCTGTAATGAATAATCCATGATCCACTTGAACATAGACTAAGTAAAGACTAAAGACAGAACTTAGGGGCCGGGGATTTAGCTCAGTGGTTCGGTGGCCTGCCTTGCAAGCGCAAGGACCTGAGTTCAATTCCCGGTACCAAAAAAAAAAAAAGAACTTAGATTAAGATTATATTATGGGTGGAAATAAAGATTCAGTAGAGAAGTTTACAAGTTGACTTAGGCAGGAAGGCAGTTTCTAAAATAGACTTTTATAAAATTGTAATAATTATGATTGTGGTACAAAGGTCATTTTCTTATTAATACTTCTTAAAGTTTTCCATATAATCTTAATATTTGTTTTATTTTTATTTCGTATATTTACAGTGTACAATTTGATGTTTCATATAGAACTTTATATTTTAAAAGATATTTTATATACAGTATCATTGTTCTTCACAACGAACTTATGGGAAAATACCTGTTTTACAGAAAGGAATCAAGGCTGAATTGTGTTAAGCAGTCTTTAAGTTTACATAGTTAGTAAATGACAAATCGTACATTTTTTTCTGAATACGGTGCTTTTCATTGGTAGCACAGCTGCCCCTAGTCAGTACACTCTTGAGATGATGCTCAGATTCCTAGAATGACACATTACATGGCTCGGTGAATTGTCCTCCAGCTTCAGAAATGACAGGTTTTTGCACACAAACATGCAGTGAGTTGGATGTGTTCCCTTAAAGAGCCAGGTTCAGTAAAAGTCAATGTGCAATAGTTTGATGTCGGGATTCTGTCCCAGACCTGTCTCCTAGCAACAGAATTATTAACATGGGAGAGAAGTGCTCTTTCCATGCATATATTAATTGTTCCAGCAGATTATTTTTATGAAAGATCATTTTCTTGAAGCAATGTTCTTTGGAACAAATGAATTGTAGGTTAAGTGTTACTAGCAATGATTGTGTAAAACTAGCCTATAATTCCCACTCCCTCTGCTATAAAGGCCCTTATGTTGGCCATGAGTTTTCCTGGAACAAGGTTGTTTTACTTGAGAACCCAAAAAAGGAAGGTGAAAAAAAATTTTTTTTTTTTTGTGGTACCAGGGATCAAACTTGGGTCCTTGAGCTTGCGAGGCAATGCAGGTGCTGGAACCAGTGAGCTACATCCAGGCCCTGGAAGGTGAATTCTTTGAGAACCAAAATCCTCCTATTGTTCTTTGCCCCAGGACATCAACAGGAAGCAGCTTGGCACAGCAAGGTTTTGATGCGCTTCACCTCCCATTGCTTTGCCAGGTGCATTGTGGTTAAACTTACCAGCCTTGTCTGTGCCTTCATATTTTTTACCAAGATATAAATTCTATGTGTGAAGTAGGCACTAAGCTGCTTTTCCTTCCTCAGAGCAAGACCTGCATCCAGGCTGTATTAATTTTCATTCTCCTCTTTTCTTTTGTCTTTGTGGGTGGGGAGTCAATGGAGTCTTTTGAAAACAAAGACGCTTCACAGATCACTCAGGTTCTGTGGTTTTAAAAATGTGTGTTTAGGTAGCGAACTTCCTCCCTGTAACTGAGTCTTAGTCGGAAATTGGAACCTGAAACACAATGACAGCTGCCCTGACTGCAGCAGCAGACTGTGCCTTCCCGGTCCTCCTGTGCCATCCCTGGCCATCCCTGGCCTGCTGTGCTGACAGGTGCCCACTTCATTGCCACATCCCTGGCTCACCAGCCTCCACAGCATCTCCTGTTACCAGGCCTGGCATTGCTCATGGGCCAGCCCAGCTCACGTTCAGGGAAAGCTTTCAGAGGAGAGTTTGGAGCCCTCAGCCTTGTGTTGGGAGGTGGGGACGGATGGGGAGGCAGCAGCGGGGCTGGGCCAGCCCACAGAGGGTGCACCTGCACAGCCAGGTCCAGCCCTGTGTGCACTCCAGATGTCGGTCCGGTAGCCAGGGTGATAGACTCCCACCTGCTTCCAGAGGGTACCAGTATGGCCCTTCTCCACTCAGTGCCATATTGTCGCTTATGTGAGTTAGTCAGCATCTTGTGAAATAGCCATTCGGTTAGATGATTTTGCACCATAGTAATGATAGGTCAGTGTAAGTGTTCTGAGCACATCTAAGGCAGGCCTTCAGTATGGGAAGAGTATTGAACACAGGCTTGAGCTACAGTGTTTTCATGTGTGGGAGTGGGTGTGGGTCTTTACGATTTGCTGGGCATTGGACCAGGGCCTCACACGTGTTAACCACGTGACCAGAATTACAGGATTCTCAGCCCGTGATGGGTCTGTCAGGACCTCACCCATCCAAAGTTGGAGTTTTCCCGGGGTCAGCGGGTTGGTGTTCGGAGTACCCTCTCCATGGCTGTGGCTGGCCGTGCTCTCCCTGTCTTCATATGATCTCTCTGAACCTGCATCCCAGTTGCCTCTTCTATAAGGACATCAGACTTGGTGGATCGGGAGCCCCCATATGACTTTGTTTTTATCTTAGGGTCTGTTTAAAGACTCTAGGATTTCACCTTTAATTCGGGGTGACAAAATTCAGCTCAAGACTGTTTCTGTACCTCAGGAATTAGGAACCCTGCAGAGACAGGAATGGGTTTCAGAACCAGCTGCACGTAAGCAGCCCTGCCTTTGCCTAGCCCGATGGCTCCTCCTTCAGGTGACACTTCAACATCTCCCTCTGAGATGATGCCTCCCTCCTGTTCCTCCACCCGCTAGTCTTTCTCAGGCCACCTGGCCCCTTGTTCTTACACTTTAAGGAGCTGTGAGCATTGACTTTATTTTCTCTGTTTAACACTTGAACATCCCTCTGAGTGTGTAAATGACAGTGTGTTGAGGGCTCCATGCAAGTTGTTTAAGACGCAAGAGTGGGCAGCGCACAGGGCCATATCTCCGAGTGGCAGGTCCCCGAGGCTCCAGCTGCTTATCCTGGGCCAGGCCAGGCAGGAGAGAACCCGGGGCCCCGTCCACGTGTACAGTCAGCCTCTGGGGACAATGTCACCTGAACAGGAGAGGTGGGAAGTGGGGTCTTGCCTGGAGGCCGGGGTGATGCTGAGTGGCACCTGAGTGCCAGCTGAGCCGCCGAGTGTGTCCTTGAGCACCATGCGTGGCATTGCTGGACCTCTGCATCCGTGCATGTAAAGCAAGGGTGGTGACATGTAGGGTCTCCAGCCTTGTCCTGAGGAGTGACTGAGTATTTGTACTTTGAGCCACAGGGCGGGCTCCACGTGCATTCGCTGCCACCCTTGTGAAAGGAATGCCAACACAGGTCGGGCAACGGGGCCCTAGGAGATAAGATGGCATCGTGTGACAAACCATGGGACAAGCGGGCCTCTGCCCCCAGCGCCATTGTTCTGAGGGCGTGTGGGCGTTAGGCTTTCAGAGAGCCAGAGCTAACAGGCGTGAGGGGTGCATGCAGAGGGTTCCTGGGAGGAGCTGCCTTGCCCAGCTGCAGAGCTAGGCAAGTCCCAAGGCCGTGGCACCGGCATGAGAAACCTGGGGAGCGGTAGGGCTGTTCTGGTCTGACATCCGGCAATCTCCAGCCAGAAAGGGCAGGCACTTGATTCTGAATCTGACAGCAGGAAAATGCTGAGGTCCCAAACTGAAAGTCATCAGGCAGGAGGGGTTCTCTTACCTCCCCTCTTTTTTTCCTTTTTCTGGTACCAGGGCTTGAATCCACAGCCTTTGCGCTGACCTACACTCCCAACCCTTTTTTATTTTTTATTTTGAGACAAGTCTTGCTGTGTTACTAAGCCATTCATCCAGGCTCAAACTTGCCACCCTCCTACCTCAGCCCCCTTGATTGCTGGGATGACGGCCCAGGCTACCACACCAGCTTCTCAGCCCTTTTTTTCTATGCAAACCTTTCACAGATTGGAGGAGGCCACCCACATTAAAGAGGGCCATCTGCCTTACTCTGTCTGCTGATTCAAATGCTTATCGCAGCCAGAATTATGTTTGGCAAACATCTGGGTGCTGAAGCCCGAATGAACCATCCCAGCCTGGAAGCGCTGATGGTTCCTGCTCCTCTGTACCTGGCTCGCCGTGGGTTTCCTAGGGCTGAGCTGGCAGTGAGAGGTGTGATGGGGCCATCTGGGTCAGAGCAGGGAGGGAAGGGCCTCTTCCTGCCTGGCCATCAGTGATAACACGGTCCTTGGCCCTGGGCCAGGCCAGCTGGAGTGACATGAAGTGCCCAGGTGATAAAGATTCACACAAGTGACCACGTTCCCTCTCAGCAGCACAGGAAAGTGAGGCTGGGCTACTGAGGAGAGACGGACACCAGAGAGAGGGCAGCAGTGGAAGTGTCCATGTGGAGGCCACTGCCGCCCCTCCTCACCCCAGTGCCCCATGACTTTCCACACTGCTGGCCACCTGGCCCTTCTCCTCCTGGACACTGATTTCATTCCTCCCTGCTGACCAGTCAGGTGGAAGGGAGAGCAGCCGCACCAGGCTCTGCTGAGAAGTGGCTCCGCACAGAACTGACCAGTGCCTACCATCAGGCCTTCATATGTCAGAGAATAGAGTCCAGCCCTTTTAGACCCATCTAACCTGCATTTTGCAGAACTTTTCTTCCGGGAAGAATCTTCCAGTTGGAGTTTGTCTATCAGCAAGCAAGCATAAGTACATCGTGCTCCCCAAGTCAGCATTTTAACACACTGTACATAAGAGCAGAGCTTGCTGTGTGCCTGCAGCCTGGGCTGCACACCTCACGTGCATTCTCTTGTTTCACCCTCACAACAGCCCCAATCTCCAGGTGCAGGACGGTGGCTTAGGGAGTTGATACTACCTTCCAGGACAGAGTACTGTTGAGACCAGACATGTGCTGGCCCCGCAGCACCCGTGCATTTAACACTTGGTGGGACTGCAGCATCCAGCTGCTGTGTGAAGACCACTTGCTGCGGCCAGAGGGCCCCACGCAAAAGCTTAAGTTCCACCAGGCCCCACAGAAGTGGTTACTCCGAGCTGCGGCAGTGCCTCCAGAACGGCTACCGTGGCAGATTGACTTGTCCACCATGCGTGCAGCATGGTGCCTTAGAGAACAGCAGCTTCGCAGTGAGATGCCGTCCCCCGACTCACCCAGATGCCTGGCTGGGTAAAGCTGCAGGCTTTGTGCTCTCCCAGCTTTATCAGCAGGAAGAAGCTTGCAGTTAACCGTCACTGCTTTATTCTCCAGGCTTTCTAAGAGGGGCAGAATGAAAAAGGAAAGGCTGACCCGGGCTGTGTTGCATCTGCATTCCTGATGGAGATCGCAGAGATCCAGCAGCCCCTCCAGTTCCCTCTCTTCCTGGCAGTTTCGCAGGTTCATAAGTGAGAGCATTTTTGCATTCATCCAAAGTGAGGGCACAGTGGCCTTTCCCTTATGGCCTGGTCATGACTGATTGGTCTCTGAATTTAATCAGAAAGCTGAAAGACTTGAGAGTGAGGAAGGAAAGGTAAAGCTAGGGCCTCACCAATGCCACCATGAGCTAGAAGGACTGCATCATGTGGGAGCAGGTAACCACTGGGTGTACACATAGATTAGACAACATCTGATTCCCTGAACACTGCAAGTCCTGTCTCTCCAAAGGTACCAGATGATGGAGAAATGGGCCCTGTGAATAGGGGCTAGCGTACACCCTGGAAGCCCCTACGTATCCCGCAAAGCCCTGTGTTTGGAGAAGGATTGCCTAAGAACCATGCTGATGGGGCATGTGACTGGATCCCTTTGTTTTCTGGGTGAGAAGTAGGTCAGCAGCAGAGTTGCTGCGAGGCCTTCACAGCCAGCGTTTACGCTCAAGGAGGAGCACATGATAGGCTTCCCTCGGAGTTCTGTGCCAGACACCAGCAAGGAAGGTGTGTAAGAACTGCAGAATGACCCTCAAAAGGGATCCAGGACAAGAACAGTTTTCTTCATATTCTCACCCACCTGCCTGTTTGTGTATCTGTCCATCTGTGCAACCATCTTTTCATCCATGCATCCATTGTCCCAGGCAAGTCTACCATATTTTTAATGAAGCAGATCTAGTTTTGATTTCCTCAATGGCTAGTGATTACTGTGTAAGAGTCCAGACAGCATGGAATGGCTGAAAAGAAGGAATTCACCTCTGGTGTCTTTCATTCCTCACAGGGAGCAAGCAAATCATAGAAAACCGCTAGAGCTCATGGTAGCGAGGATGGATGTCCACAGAAGAGTCCTTCAGGCGTGGCAAGCTTAGCTCAGGGGATGTAGTTTGGTCTCAGCGTGCCCTTCTGTGACCCTGAGCATCCTTGGCAACTGGTTCTTCTCTGCCTAAAACAGTCCTTGAGCTTCCCTACAAGCCTTGTGTGGGGGCAACTGGGATCCTGTCTCTGGGGTCATGCTTCTTTTCTGAATAGAATTAGAGTTGAGTATGCCCCATGTATTAATGGTGTTATTAACCTTCCGGGGACCTCCAAGTGTTGTCAACAGTCTACCTGCCTTTTATATCCCCCACCCTTGGCTGAGTTGCCAACAGGCCTAGCTAGGATCTTGCAAAGACAGTGCCCCTCTGCATGAGTCCTGATCCTACTGAGGTTCTGAGAGCCCAGATCAGACAAGTAGATAATGTGGTCAGCGGACTCTTGCCCAATACAGTCTTTTAGCATCTTAACTGTCATCATAGACAAAATGCCTTGAATTCATGCTTATATCACTCTGGCAGCTGACAAATGCTGAACTCGGAGAAGGTTGTCTTTAAAGAAATTACTAACCAGTCCTCTGACCAAATTCCACTGAATGGAAAAAGCCTGTCAGGACAGAGGGTGCCCCCCCACCCGATGAGCTGGGACAGCTATGCCAGTGGCTCTCACCACAGGGCTGCTGGTACGGCCCTGCCATCCTGAAGGTCCTTAGGAATTGTGCCACTTATATGGGGCTATATGCAAGCTCATTTACTCAGGACTCCAAAAACTAATAGGATGATTTGGAACCTTGAACAGTGGGCTGGTGGTAGCTGTGAATTCTAATTTGTACTTTCCCACTACACAGATACCCCAAGGAACCTGCCCCAATCAAGGGGATTCTGGACATTCTAATTTTTCTAACCTCTTAAAATCAATTTTATTAAAATGGGATTTGTTAAAGTAACCACCAAAGCATCTCCTCTGTTCTTGGTTTTCCAATACAGTGTGGCTCAAATGATTGTCCCATAGTTAACTTCCAGGGTGGCCAGACCACCAGGGTCCACCCTATGTTCATAGCTGTGAAATTTCGGGCTGTTACCTTCCATGTCAGTAGTAATCACTGGGGCAGTTTTGCACTTGAAGATTTTCAGGAATTGTTGGGGAGGGAAAGGATATCTAAGTGGTGTTCCACAGATCAAAAGCTATTAATATTTTTTTAGGTTGCATCTGATGCCAGAAGGCAAACACAACCTGCATTTACGTTTTGCAAATGAGTTCAACAAACTAGCAGAAGACTTCCTGCGCTGAAAGTGGCCCTGGGAATTTGTCTTGGTGCATTCTAAAGTGGGGCTTCACCACATTGCTGCTGGTTACTGCAGCCTTTGAGCCGCCTTCCCTACATCATACCTGCACCCACTTGCATTTCCAGGGTTCCTAAACCCTCCCTACTGTGTGACATTAATCATGACATAGTGAAGACAGCCTCTGACTTCTACGACTTACAAAGCTGGATCTGAACTTTTAACGTTGAGTTTTCTATCATTGTCTAAAAAAAATTCCCACCGTAATGTCTTTGCAAATAAAACTGAGGTGGCTCACAGGTAGTGTTCATACTTGTGTTCTCAGGACAGCTTGAATTTGTAGCATACCCTTTAACTGGGAGGTGCATCTCCACTTACCTTTTCATTTGTATTTATCACACTGCTCAAAAGAAAAATAGAAGTAGAAGGAAGTCCTTATGTAAAGACTCATTAGTTTCTGAACAACAGGAAAGAAGAGAAGGCAGTTTCCTTAATCCCCAAACCACTTTACTCCTATATCACTTCAAAGAGACTGCTTTAGTGCTATGGATCAGTAAAGAAAAAAAAAAAACACTTTCATCTGTCTTTATTGAATGATCAGGAACGCTATTAAAATCACTAAAACAAATCCTATACTGTTATTAAGGTTAAAGTCTGAAACCTTACACATTTAAGAATAAAAATTTTTTAAAGGGAAAGGAAGAACCACAAGGTTTTATACACATGCTTTTATATGGTGATCCACATTATTACATCAACAGTGAGTTTCTGACAGAGGCAAAACTGAGCACCATAGTATACAAATAGACCATGCTGGAGGACAACAGGAGTTCACTAAGGATGCACGATTTATTTGGAAAGTTCTTAGGCCTCGTCCTCACCCTCCTCCTCCTCGAACTCCCCTTGTTCATCGGCCGTGGCATCCTGGTACTGCTGGTACTCGGAAACCAGGTCATTCATGTTGCTCTCGGCCTCGGTGAACTCCATCTCGTCCATGCCCTCGCCCGTGTACCAGTGCAGGAAGGCCTTGCGCCGGAACATGGCCGTGAACTGCTCCGAGATGCGCTTGAACAGCTCCTGGATGGCCGTGCTGTTGCCGATGAAGGTGGCCGACATCTTGAGGCCGCGGGGCGGGATGTCGCACACGGCCGTCTTCACGTTGTTGGGGATCCACTCCACGAAGTAGCTGCTGTTCTTGTTCTGCACGTTGAGCATCTGCTCGTCCACCTCCTTCATGGACATGCGGCCCCGAAAGATGGCAGCCACAGTCAGGTAGCGACCGTGGCGTGGGTCGCAGGCGGCCATCATGTTCTTGGAGTCGAACATCTGCTGGGTGAGCTCGGGTACGGTGAGGGCGCGGTACTGCTGGCTGCCCCGGCTGGTGAGAGGCGCAAAGCCCGGCATGAAGAAGTGCAGGCGCGGGAAGGGCACCATGTTCACGGCCAGCTTGCGCAGGTCTGCGTTCAGCTGGCCTGGGAAGCGCAGGCAGGTGGTCACGCCACTCATGGTGGCCGACACCAGGTGGTTGAGGTCACCGTAGGTGGGCGTGGTCAGCTTCAGGGTGCGGAAGCAGATGTCGTACAGGGCCTCGTTGTCGATGGAATAGGTCTCGTCCGTGTTCTCCACCAGCTGGTGCACGGACAGCGTGGCGTTGTAGGGCTCCACCACGGTGTCGGACACCTTGGGTGAGGGCATGACGCTGAAGGTGTTCATGATGCGGTCGGGGTACTCCTCCCGGATCTTGCTGATGAGCAGGGTGCCCATGCCCGAGCCCGTGCCGCCCCCCAGTGAGTGGGTCAGCTGGAAGCCCTGGAGACAGTCACAGCTCTCTGATTCCTTCCGCACCACGTCCAGGACCGAGTCCACCAGCTCGGCGCCCTCTGTGTAGTGGCCTTTCGCCCAGTTGTTCCCCGCACCGCTCTGGCCTGCAGAGGAAAGGGAATTTCTCACTGTATCATGTGGACTGTGGGTGCGTTGGTCTAGCCTTAGATGACCTTTTAGGTAGTCTTGTAGGTATGCTTTTGAGACCTAAGAAAACTTTGTGGTTTATCAGTGAGCCCAAGACCCTGAGGGAGACTACCAAGTAAGAAGGCAAATTGAAGAAGCTGTGTCTAACAAACCCAGCTGCTTCTAAAATAAGGAACAGCATTGTGTGGATGCTCTGATTAGGTACGATTAAGCAGATTGGAGAGGTGCAGCGCCATCGGAGAACAGGCTCTGTGGCAGAAGCTGTGCTCTTGGCCTCTGGCACCTTCAAGTGTTCACCTGCGCCCTCTGCTCCTTTGAAGTCCCCTGTACTTGTGAAGCCTGTGTAAGGCGTGTCCTGCTCTTTATTCTTCCTGTGGTGGGGCCACCACAGCCTCTGCAGGCTGACACCCATCTCTGAGCTGTGCAGACCAGGGACAGGGCCCGAGGATGTGAGGGCGTGGCCGGCAGGGGCCTCCCTGGACACAGTCTCAGCCTGGCCCTGAACGCTGAGAACCCTGCCGTGCGGGGCTGCTAGGAAGGCCAGTCACCTGGCCAGTGCCATGGCCGAGACCACATACCGAACACAAAGTTGTCTGGCCTGAAGATCTGGCCGAAGGGTCCCGACCTGACCGAGTCCATCGTGCCGGGCTCCAGGTCCACCAGGATGGCCCGAGGAACGTATTTGTTACCTGTGGGAACAAGAGCTGCCTTAGACCTGTGCTTGGCTGAACATGCTGGGCAGGGCCCTGTTCTATGTGGCTGTCATGGCCAAACCCAGGACAGAAATTGCAGCGGCTGAGACAAGGGGAGGAAAGTGCAGAGACTGAGCAAGACTCCTCTCCGCCCAGGGGCAGGAGTCTGGAGAAACAATCGTGTGTGTTTTTCTTGCAGTTGGCCTGTTTGGTGACTATGCAAGAAGCTTGTCTTTGCCATTTCCCGTGCCACGGGAAGGACAGCAAGGTGACATCAAATACTCACCAGCAGCCTCGTTGTAGTACACGTTGATTCTCTCCAGCTGCAAGTCGCTGTCGCCATGGTAACTGCCAGTGGGGTCGATGCCGTGCTCATCACTGATGACCTCCCAGAACTGCAGGGGGAAAGAGTCCCATGCTAGCCTGGCGCCCTCCTTCCCAGGAAGCATGGACTGGAGTAGCAGCAGCAGCAGCGGCGGCGGCGGCAGCGGCCGCGGTGGTCAGACAAGAAGAGTCCTGTCCAAGGAGCAGAGCCGTGGCCCCTGACTGCGGCAGCTGCTGTAGGGGCTGGGCATCTGCGGAGGTCCTGCCATATCAAGCCACAGCCTGAAGGGCGGGGAGGGACCCTGGAGAAGGGGGCGGCACAGCAGAGCCCCTTCCAGGACGCAGGGGCGCAGGCGCTGTCACTGCACGCCTGGCTGAATGTCGCTGCATGGTGATTGGGGGATGGTCTTCTGGACAGATCCTTTGGCCCCACCCCGCGACCCCGTGGCTTGATGGCTCCAGGTAACGACACCACGCAGCTTTTTGCCCCTGACCTACCTGGCCTTGGGGCACTGACCACGCCGGGCACAGTCAGTAAAGGCAGTAGGGCGCCTGGGCGGCAGTGGAGGGAGCTGGCACCCTGAGGTCTCAGCTGCATTGTGCATGCAGAGGAAAGGGGGCAGGGGTGGGTGGGCAACATGGCGCTCGGAGGGACCGCATCGCGT